CGCCTCGCCCGCAGATCTGGAGGCCCGACAGCCCGTCACGTGCTTTATTGGTGAAAGTTGGGGTGTGCATGCAGCTATTCACAGTAAAGAGCGAACACCAACGCCAGGGCCACGTACGTTTCCGTTTCGTGTTTAGCTTGTACCCAGCTGTCCCAGGCAACATCCCAGATCCACCTGCTGGCAATCTGCGAGAACAAGGATTCAAATGCGGCTTTAAATTCAACACGCGAGCAAGACATCTTACACGTCATCTACGTGCCTTTGTAAAATAAGTACATCTCTCTCTCAGAAAGGCGCAAGTAGGAATTAACTGCGGGTCACCTCGTTTGCTGGGGGCTGTTGGCAAGCACATTTTGTTTCCTCAGCAAGTCTGGGCCTTGTAACGGGGTCTACAGAACTAATCTAGTGTACTACAGATCTAAAAAATTCTTCAGCCAAAAGTTAATCAGGCCCTGGTCGTGCAGAGGTGGCATTAACTGTGCAAACAGGCAGCGTGACTCCTTTGCCTGCAGAGCCACGCAGGATCTAAATACAGCTCTGCTGGTCTGTGGTGGATCTAAAATGGTCACACATTCTTTATGGCGGCTTCTCACCCCTGGAACTTGAGTTGGCTTTATAGCTCGCTCAGACCCACAGAACATGAATGTGCAACTTTCACGCGAAGCCATCGAGGGTCTTGCAACATCTGTTGTCTTTCATGGAACATTGTTAAGACCCCCACACATAAGGAAATCCACTTAATCCAAGATGGTGCACTTGCGGGAAAAACACATGCCCCAGCTAGCAGCAAGATCCACTGTCAGAGCTGGGAAGGGCCTTGACCTCTAGGCCCACCTAAATCATAAGATCCCCTTAGCACACCAGGGAGACCAACAGAGAGTATGGCGCCAATCCAGGCTGTGTGTGCAGATCTCCCAGTAGTAAGTAGAAATGGCTGTTAATTTAAGCTCCTAGTCTTGTTGGTTATCACATACCCCACTCCCATGGCATTCATACTTGCAGCTTCACTAGCTGAGAGTAGCAACCATACCTGTTATTAACCAAATACACCTAGTTCATCCCTGCCTTCAGGCTTTGTGTGCCATCTGGACACCAGCCCTTCCCTTCTGTGGGCATTCCCAAGCAGTTACTATGACAAGGTTCTCTCTCTCTGAGTTCCTCCCTAGAGCACTTAGTCATCATCTAGAACTTTCCTGTAGTAAATATGTATCTATGTATGTGGAGATGGGGCAGAACTTTTCTGTGGCGGCCAAGATGGCCTGTGTTGCTGATTTTTGTGTGTCAACACCCCATGCCATCTCAAATCCCCTTCCTTGGCTTAAGTATTTGGGCCTCTCTCCATGAAGTCCTCAGAGTACTAAAAAGATTTTAGTACTACCTTTTATTCACCATCAACTCCCTAGCTACTTACATGGCCATAGTAGTCTCTCTCTCTAATAGTCATCATTTTTATTTGAACATATAACATTTATTAAGTATAATTCTTTTATTTGCTGGCCAGGGTTTGAACTCAGGGCCTGGGTGTTGTCTCTGATCTTTTTTGCTGAAGGGTAGAGCTCTACAACTTGACTCCACTTCCAGTTTTTTAGTGGTTAATTGGAGATAAGAGTCTCATAGACTTTCCTGCCTGAAACTTTTCCTCAGATCTCAGCCTCCTGTGTTGAGGATACAGGTGGGAGCCACCAGTGCCCCGCTAGTATACTCTTTATTATGATAACATTCAATTTTAATAATCAGTGTTGATTGAAGGCTCTCAGGAGCACCCATTTAAGGTTCTAATACATAAAATCTAGTCATCACAACACCTATAGGAAGATTTTTACCATCCTCACCTTGGTGATGAAAAACTCATGCCCCAGCCACAGCCCATGTGTCTCCTCACATCCTACCTGGGTTCCCACCAATGACCATCTCATTACCTTCCCTTAAATCCTAAACCTGGCTCTTTTATTTCCGACTAAACACTTCTTGACACTTATGGTTCATGTCTTAGAATTCTTTGTAGTCTCTTCAGTACCGAACATACATTTGTGCCCAATAAATTCACTAATTAATTAAATATAATATTAAAACTGACATGATTAAGAACCAGGTTAACTATGAAATTTAATGCATTATTATTAAAGTGCAATTTCTAGGATAGTATTTTTCAGAATTAGAACATCTTTAGCAAAATAATCCTGGCACTGAGAGGCTCTTCTAATCTTCATGTGCTTTGGAGTCATCCTCATAACCTCAGATCACTATGGAGGACATACCATGCAGTTCTAACCAACAAGACACTGGGCAAGCAGGATACTTACATTTATTGCTTGACCAGTCTTCTGAATAAATAACACTTTTATAATGAACTTATAACGGTGAAATCCAAACTCTTTGACTGCTAACAACATTTGGTCTGCCAATTCAAGTGACAAATGTGAGAAGGCCTTATCATCATATCTGACATCTTTAAGAGTTTCCTTGAAAAAAATTAATAAAATATTTAGATTATCAAGTCAACTATTTTCAGTATAAAAGAAATATACATTCCTGGAAAATAGCACTAAATATGCGTATCACTTCATTTTAATAGCAAATTTGAAAATATTGGTTTTTAAAAATATATTCAGTTGCCTTGTTATCTACAGTTAGGCTGTAAGTTTATTTTTTAGATTACTCTGCCAAACAGTTACAGAGACACAAGGCAACTTTTTTAAGGCTTTTCTGGAAGTATGTGGTAAAGAAAATTTTGTATTTCTACATTTGATAAATTGAGATCTGGGTTTTCCTAAAGCAGGCATTATTTGGACCCACCAGCCTTACATCATTGTGTCTAGTTCAGCCCCTTTAATTAAAGCCTTCTTTCTTACCCTCTATGGTCTCCTACTCCATTGAAGTGTGCAAAGAATATTCATTAATGAACTAAAGTACAGCTTAGAGAAATAGATGTCTCAGGTCATAATGCATGAATCTTCCTACATGTGTATCATCTTATGTGTAAATATAAAATCATCACAAGGAAACTCCTTTGCACAACTAACATTTGCTAATAAACATGGGGGGGAGAGCCACTGCTGTCTGGCCTGTGCAGAAGACAAATGGATCTTGGAGAATGTCTGTAAGCTTAACAAGTAACTGTAAGTGCAGCTGCTGGACCCTGTGATTTCCCAGCTGGAGAAGCCTGCCATGCAGCCACTGGCCGACAGCTGACACTTCCTCAGACAAGTCTGTAAAATCCACCAAAATCAGTTTGCTTCCAGCTGGCAAAGCACCAATACACTCTGTCCTGTCTTAGGAGTATGTCAGCCGTCAGCCTATCAGAATTCACAAAGATTTTGTCTTCTCCTCAGGAATGTGAGTTATCACACTGGTACACTACACTGAACACATCATGTATCAAGATGGCTGCAGCAGGCCCAGATTTCTGCAAGCTGCTCTGGCTCTTCGGCAATAGGATCCTGAAGGTCTATCAGTGCTTGAAGTGTAAGTGGTGAGTAGAGGTGCTATTTGGAGTCTTTGGAAAGCCTTTGGCGATCTGGAAAGAGCCTTTGCCATCATCTGCAGTTGTTTAACTGTTCTACTTTAGAGAAATAGCTTTGGGCTGCTGCTGGACCTTTGGAGACTGAATGCTTGCCCAGAGGCCACCAAATCACCATGCATCCTGCCCATCACCAACGGGGTATGACATGACACACTAGGAAAACCGCTGCTCTGCTAGTCTGAAGACTAGATTCAGAGGGAAGGCTGTTTTTACGGAGACATAAATGGTTTCACTGAAATGGAAGGTAACTGACTTGGCCCTGGGCCCTTCCTGCCTCTGACCAACAGGCCAGAAAGGGATTACTTCATCGTAACTACCATTCAGTCAGGATGACTGAATGAACTAACACTTCTACAAAGGAGATGACAAGGAATGCATTGGTAAGACGGGATCTTTCAGTCTGTTATCAGTATTACCATGCCAACAGTCATGCCTGATTGTTGGAACACTACAGTAGTCCACTTCATATTGAACTATGAATAACCTAGATCCTTGAGGAATGAACACTGAGTCCCTTGTGAAGAGCCATGGGTAGCTGACATTCTTACTGAACACACAGAGGAACAAGCAGTACAAGAAGATAGTTATAAATACCAGCAACAGTAACTGTCACAAGAATGAAGACTGTAATTGCCAAGAGTAATTCCTTCTTATATGAATGTGTGTACAAACACCCATATGTGAAGGTATTTTTTCTTCTCTATCATTATTTCCTTATCTTGTAGTATGAAATACTTTTATCAGTACTACCACTAATTCTACACCCTACTGTTTATGTTACAGAATATAAAGGAATACCCATCACTCTAAAACGCCACCAGTTCTTTTGGGAAAGAAATTTGTACATTTCCAATGGTTAGCATGTGTTGTCTTTATTTTGGCATAGTTTTGTGTGTGAGTGTATGTGTGCATATGCTAGTCCTGGGGCTTGAACTCAGGACCTAGGTACTGTCCCTGAGCTTTTATGCTTATACTTTACTACTTGAGCCACAGCTCCATTTCTGGCTTTTTGGTAGTTAATTGGAAATAAGAGTCTTATGGACTTTCCTGCCTCTGCTGTCTTCAAACCTGTTGAGTAGCTAGGATTGCAGGTATAAGCCACCAGCACCCTGCTGACGTGTTTGTTTTTTGTCATTTGCCGGGCTTCAACTCAGCCTGGGCACTGCTGCTCAGCTCTTCAGCACAAGGCTAGTGCTCTAGCACTTAAGCCACTGTGCCACTTCCGGTTTTCTGGTGGTTAATTGTAGGTAATAGAGTCTCACAGACTTTCCTGCCCGGGCTGGCTTTGAACCAAGATCCTAGATCTCAGCCTGAGTAGCTAGGATTACAGGCGTGAGCCACTGGCACCGGATTGACATGTTGTTGTAAGAGATTAGTGTGTATATCCATATGACAAGGAGTGGGCCTTTCCATAATTAATTGTATGTGTCATCTTCAGATATGCTTCAATACCTAGAAAAAGATTATGCATGGTTGTGTCTGTGACAGTGTTTACGGAAGAGTCTAGTAAACATACATATCAGTCGACAGTGACTAGGACATCAAGTGTGGGAAGTACACATTTTCTCTTTAAGCTGGGACACCTGTCTTCTCCTGCACTTAGTGCTGGAGTTTCTTAGGTCTACAGTCTGGGGCAAATACTCACCCTTTCAGCTCCTTAGGTTCTCAGGACTTTCAATTCAGACTAAATTCACCATTAGCTTTTCTAGGTCTCTAGCTTGCACACTGATTGTCGCGTACTGTAGGACCATTTGAGCTCTACAGTTATATGAGCTAATTCCTATGATTTTGCCATATATAAGATGTGCCTACTATATTAACATATATAACACTTACAGATATGTATATATATGGCATACATGTATACACACATACCACACACAAATCACTCATCTTCACTGGCTCTAATCTGGCAGTGCTACCAACCCAGCCCCCAACCTACCGTTAGTATCTGTTGGATTTTAATTTCGACTGAATGAGCTTGGAATTTCTTCATTGGCTCCATTCTATATGAATTAGAAAACTTTAACTTTGCCAGGGCACTCTTCCATTCTTTACCTATGTCAGCAATGGAGTCATCAAATGGAGGCTCCACATACTGAACATCGTGAAAAGAGTCTCTCAGCCTTTCTCTCAAGATCTGTGCATACTGAAGGAGAAAGGTTACAAAATAAAACTGTCTTAAGAATCCTGATACAGTAGATGCAGAACTGACACCAAAGTTGTAAATCTGTTATAACAGATTTCTATGAAATACAGTCACCAAATCCCCAGATTTATTCCTAAAGGTCAATTTTGTAAAACAAGAAAAAAAAGCGGTCTTTTGAGATACATAAATATAAAAACTGGCATGAGCTAGGTGCTGGTAGTTCACACCTAGGGTAGGCAGAGATCGAAGGATCAAGGTTTGAAGCCAGCCTGGGCAGGAAAGTCCACAAGACTCATCTCCAATTAACTACCCCCAAAAAAGTCTGAAGTAGAGCTGTGGCCCAGGCCCTGAGTTCAAGCCCTACGAATGGCACACACAAACTGTGTGGACATACTTTAAATATCCACACAACATCCAAAAGAACTAGAAAAAAGAACTGTCTCCAGAGTGGCAATGACATGGCCAGGGGATAGAGATGTAAAGACAAACTTTGATGGCCCCTAACTTAAGGTTATGAAACATATCAAAAATATATCCTGTTATTCTCTTTCAAATCATTTATTTAACATTTAAACATTTATCTTTAAATCAGTACTAGAATTATTTCAGCAACAAATTCATAAGTGTAAAAGTTGAGAAGATAACAAAAAACATATTCGTTATATACATCAGCCCGTGCTTTGAAAATGTAATGAGTGTTTGGTATCCAACATGCATAAAGAACTGCTAAGTTAGAGCCCAGTATTTTCCAGATGAAAGTCTTGTTCTGGATAGTAGAGGACTTTAAACTTTCAGTCTCTCACCATTAGATATTGTCTGCTGTGCCACCTACATATATGGGTTTTATGTTGTGGTAGTTTCTATTCCTGGTTTACTGATCATTTTGATTATGGAATGATGAATTTTGTCAAGGACTTTTTCTTCATCAATAGAGGCGATTTTGTCTCTAGTGTGTTATATTGATTGATTTGAATCCTTGCATTCCAGGAACAGTATCACTTGGTCATGATATATTTCTTGGTGCCAGTATTGGGGCTTTAACTCAAGGCCTTTCCTTCATGCTTTTTCAATTAAGGAGGGTGCTTTACCACTTGAACCATGTCTCCACTTCTGTTTTTGCTAATTAAATGGAAGTATGCATCTCAAGATATTTTTCTGCCCTGGTTGGCTTTGAATCACAATCCTCAGATCTCAGCCTCCTAAGCAATTTAAGATTACAGATGGGAAGCTGGGCACCTGTGGCTCATGCCTGTAATCCTACTCAGGAGGCTGAGATCTGAGGATCATGGTCCAAAACCAGAAAACTGGAAGTGGCACTGTGGCTCAAGTGGTAGAGCGCTAGCCTTGAGCTGAAGAGCTGAGGGACAGCACCCAGGCCCAGAGTTTAAGCCCCATGACTGACAAAAAAAAGATTACAGATATGAGTGGCTGACCCCTGGCTTAGTCCTTTGAATATAGTACTGAATGCTAGCATTAAGAAATTTTGTGGTAATATTCATAAGGCATATTGGCCTACAGCTTTCAATGGTGTCAGTGTCTGGCCTTGGTATCAAGGTAATGCTAACCTGCCTGTCTCTATCTTCAGAAAAAAAGAATATACAGTTGGCAATTCTTCCTTCAATTTTTGGCAGATTTACTAGTGAACCATTTGTAGCGGATGCTCCCTGTGTTGGATTTAATTATGGGTGTCCCTCTTTATTCCTGGTAACTCCCTTTGCTCTGATACTGGCTTTGTCTGAAATTTAACATGGTATGTCTTTCTTCATCCATATACTTCGAAGCATTTTCATTTAAAAAGTAGATTAATCATAGAGAACAGAGTTGTCTTAATTTTCAACACATTTTAGTGGTATTCTGGATTAAACACAGGGTGAGGCATGTACTTAGCCAGGGAAACACTCTATTTTGTTCTGAAGACTGTATCTGCACCATTCTTGATGTATATATGTCTCTTGATGTTGTATACTCAAGATTAGGAACAAGTTTTAAATATCACCAGCTTTTTGGTATCTATTAATACAAGCTGATTTGAACTATTTAATCTACTGATGTGGAAATTCCTGTTGCTGAGCCGGCTTATTGGCCTAGAATCAACTATGATTACCACTCACGTCATGCTTCTCTAGTGCTAGTAATGTTTGAAATCTTCAAATCTATAGGCACAAGACAAATGTTCAAGTTTTAGTAATCTAAGTAGTTTTGTGATCTGTGGTTGCAAGCAACAGTGACTGTTCATTGCTAAGCAAAACTAGTATTGGAATGACAGCTCTCAAACTCGAAGAAAACCGACACTCCATTCTCAGAAAAACAGAGGGGGCACTTCAGCATGCCACACCCAACTTCAATAAAGTTCAACAATTTCAATGTATACTTCATCACATTAAGCCTAATTTAGATTTCAACTTTCTACAAAATTAACGGACAATCCCACCAAAAGTCTATTCAGTGAATGAGTCATTTTAAAAAATAAAATTAACTCGTCCCAGTTAGGTAGTCGGTGTAGGACATTAGAATCAAGAAGTCTGTACTAGGTACACGTCTGTTTTGGGATTCTTACTTTGGAATGTTTTGAAATGTTTTACCTATTATTTGTTTTCATCCTATCAGTGCTGGGTTCCATGGAGTAAGTGCGGCTACAGGTAGACCCTGCCTTGGACGGGGCCTGGCACAGGCTCTAGACTGAGCTCGGGGCACGCTGCGGTTACTCCCAGGGTGGGTGAAGGGCGCGGTGCTGGCTGCACGGCGGCTTTCTCGGCGTGGTTCCACAGGGAAACGCCGGCGCTCCCGGGCGTCCGCGCAGCCGGCACAGGGCTCTCGAGCTTCTGGTCCAGCCCGGTGTCCAGGCGTCCACAGGCTCCCGCCAGCCGCGGGCGGTGAGTGCGACGCGCCACCGGTGCCACC